TGTTCGGCTATTGGACCTGGTACTAATACCATAAGTTTTTGGCTTCGCTCCATTGCTTTGTTGCATGATGCCAAACAAAAAACAAATAAAGAATTTTGAAAATCTAAACTATGTAATTATTTACTTGATCCGAAAAATAGAACTTTAATAAAAAAAATAAAAAAAATTGAAAACCAAAACTACTAGGTGCGTTACTGTAAGTCCGTAGCAGAAGCTTAAAAAAAATAAAAAAAAATAGAGTCAAAACTGATTACCGATTCACAAAAATCGGAAGCTCTCAAATAAATTCAAAACCACAAAAAAAAAAATCTAAACTTGAAAATCAAATATGATCAAAATGTTTCATTAACATTTAGTTTCTTTTCTTCTTCAGAAAATCAACTCATACAAAATCAAAAGGATATTATAAACAGTTTTGGTATCAGCCATAAAAATCAACAACAACAATAAAATGAGTATATAGCTATGATTAGTTATTTGCAACACAATTATTTTCCTTCCAGGAAATGAAAAAAATAAGTGAATATCTTCAATATGTCATACAATCACAAACCAAATGAAATATCGCAAATTGTCTTAGTCCATACATGACAATGACTAATGACCATATATCTTCAATGACTTGTATTTAGATATAGTATTTTGATATAATATTTTATCGCAAATTGGATATTATCATATATATAATACTCCAATGACATATAAAATATCTTTCTATAAGATGAAATTCTAGAAAACCATTATAATTAATTTCGTTGAATCGCTATTGAGTGTTGTCATCTAACAACAACTCAAGACAGATACAAAGAAATCAATAAAAATCAAAAATAAAAAAAAACATATTATGATAAACCAGGATTAAACCTGGCTTCTACGTTGGGCGCCATTTTGTAACGTTCAGGGGCGTGTGTGAAACCGTAGATTGGTTTGGCCATGATGACAGGAGACCTACTCTTTTATTGTGTACCGGCTATACTCAGTCGTCCACACACGGCTACGTACAAAAAAATTCATATGTCACAAAGAAAATACCATCGATTAAGTTTGACGTTGTTGCGGACTCAAAATATTGTTGTTGTTGTGGTTGGTACCCCTAGATGACAATGGGTACCTCTTATCCCTCCCATGGGTTCTGTAAGAACCCCCATATGGGCTTCAAAACATTTGAAGACCCCCAAATTCTGTCGGCTGTACCCTGTTTACATATCCTTTTTTTAAATTAATTAACTAGAACACATTTTATTTTCTTTTAAATTCATTATTCAAATTCATATTCATTTTAAGAATAAACATTTTCTACTTAAAGATTATACTTAGATTTACTTAAATCTAATTATATCCATAAGTGGAATCAAAATCTATACAATCAAAGAAAAAATCAAAGAAAAAAGGCACAATTTAATCAGCAGGATACATACAAAAATTATTAATTTAAATTTTTGTTTGTCAATCCCATTTCGGTGCCAATATGCACTAAATTAATAATCCAAATAATACCTAACACCTATTGAGCTCAAAGGGGTTATTATATAGTCCTTTTAATTAATAAGGGCTGATTTTGTTTTTCTCAACTAATGGGATTAACAACTAACAATATTGACTCTAAATGATGATAAAAAAAATGAAATATTTGTATATTTATATTGATTTATATATATACATATGTATATGTTCATATATATATATATATATATACTCATATATATGTATGCCTATATATGTATATATGTTCTTATATATAATGTTCTTATACCTATAGACGTATTTTTAAAGAAATAAAAAAGGAATTATGTACATATGAATAGATTTTTAAATTTGTACATTGGTACAGGCTCATATAATTTTTAAAAACAATTTAAAATTATTTGAATTGCAACAAAAAAACAAGAATTTTGGAATTTGTCCAAAAGAAACAACAAAATAATTGAGAAATATCTCGGCTGACCGTCGAGGAACTTTAAAAAAACTGGGTCCACACCATCCCGTCTGTGACTGGAGGTGATGGCTACCCTTGCTCTGATTTTATCAGCTTCAAATATTCACGGGCTCTTGTTGACGTACTTACTCCGTTTCTTCTTTATAGCACGTTGGATTTGAAGCTTACGATTTTGTTGAACGCCGGCACTAACAGCTTTAAATGTTCAATGCGGTATTGTTGAAAATTGAAAGAATTTTGGTGATCAATAATTTTGGGTACTGTGTTGAACAATGGTCTTAATAGTCGCTTCCAAAAGATTCACTATTGGCCAAAATGTTGAAAATTGATAGCAATGAGATGTTGGGGTTATATGCCCGGAGTACTGGAAGCCTGATATAATTTGCCTTAATATCCACAAAAGCACACGAAAAATCCAGACGATTAGCAAAGCCAGCAATCCGGCTCTGGAACGTTGTGCCGTGTAAAGGAATTGTAAAAAAAACAAACAGAATTGTTGATGGAGTAATCCTTGGGGTTCAATATCGCCAATGGAATATCACCAAGCACGTGTTGTTCACGTTGGTAACGTGTACCCAGCATACGTATATTGCTGTGCGGTACCGTTAACCAACGGGACTTCTAGAAAAAGAACCAAAAATTTGGTGTGAATTTTTTGTTTAAAATTTTCACAATTCTTTTTAAAAGCTCACCTTAATAGAAAAATTTCCTTAAGAAATTGAACGTGTTTTGAACACTTCACAATGCCTCTTAATGATAAGCAATTCACAATTTCGATTGTGCAATATTGTCTTTATGCACTTTTTACTATTGCAATGACTGCAATCACTATACACTTTTTTTACTTTTCTCTGACTGGTGTTCGTGTTGCTCCTTCGGATATTTTTTTGCAATGAAGCAATTTTGAAGGTGGCTGCAATGCGCCAATTACGAATTGTCAAAAATGACAAACAAAGAAAATGACAAATGCTGCCAGGGCTACCAACGTCTGCGCTCAATAACGACGTTTTTACGCCGTCGCTTGCGCCGTCGGGTTATGGTAGGTTAACACAACATGATTTACACGAAATTTTGCATAGCGTACTGAATTGAAACTAGAATGATGTGTTCCACGTTTCGTGAAAATCGGTTCAGATTTAGATATAGCTCCCTTATATATATTTGTCCGATTTAATGTAAAAGGTAATTTGGGGCACGACAAGAATTATTAAGGGTTTTTATCGGTACATATCTGACTGTACCTTACAATAAGAATCTTTGGATTATCTGAAGTCCAAATACATCATTCACTTTGTATTTATTTAACGATCTATCGCTTTATAAGAGGTCAACAAGGTATTCTTGTGTGCACCCCAAGTACTTCCGCCAAGTGACTCGAGGATATCATTCCTACTTTGTAGCTTCTAGAAGCAAATAGATGTGCCTTACGCAGACGTTTTAAGCATTCTGTCCAATGTGATCCCAATAATTTAGGGCAGTTAGTGATATTTTGTCTCACATTCAGAAGAATTTTCATCTCCGCATTCCACACGGTAGAGTATATATATACTTACCATTCCAAACTCTCTCATCATCTTAAATATCTGTTAATCCATTTAAAAATGTATCTACAGTGGTGGTCACGTAATTAGAACATTTATTGTGGTAAACATTTTTTGATCAGCCCTCGATTCGTTTGAAGTATTTTCGAAAAATTTTTAATTTAGAACACTTCGAATATTAAAAAAAATCAGTAAAGCAAAAAATTACACAATGCTTTAATTATGTGGCCACTTCAAAGTCGATGTATTTTCATAAAAACCGTTATTTATGGAAAAATTGCATGCAATAATTTTCTATTTTTACACTAAATCTCTAAAGTGCAGTATATCGAGATATTCTGAATTAACAAAAATCAAAAATACTTCAAACGAATCGAGGGCTAATCGAAAAAATGTTTACCACAATAAATGTTTTAATTACGTGACCACCACCGTAGGTCCTATACTGCATATTTTATAATATCTTAGATAGGTAATTCTAGTTATAACAAGTAATATTACGCCCCACAAATACAGTGTCGAAGCTAAAACCTCCCCCGCACATTGAAATCAATTGACGGATGTATAACCAAAAAAAAAAACCAACAACTATCCTTTGACCTTTTTGTCTTATGATGACGATATCTAATTAATATGACAAAAACTTGAGCATACTTTTAGGCTTCGAACGTTTTATAACACTTTCAACCACCAATATATAATCTTCATTTTTATATGTATGTGTGAGTGTACATTAAAAATTACCCTCAAATGTATGTATATTGTTCGGTATCGGTATCATATGACATGCTGAAGAAGAAAAATATTAGAAAAATACTTTTAAAGATTCTTTGTAAATCGAGGAAAATGGGGTTGCTTCTCAGCCATTGACTTTGATAAATGAGACAACATGTGAGTGATTCTTTTTTTAATTACAGGCAAACCAACTTATTTTCTAGGAAATCATTTTCCTATTTTGATACAGATTCCCTTTTATTGTTTGAGAGTCTTCCAAATATGAATGAATAAATATTTTCCTTATTTTAATTACTAATATAAAAAACTCATTTTTTATATAAATTTAAATTTCAAAACTTTATTCTGGCATCATTTTGTAACTTAAAATAAAGCACAGTTTTTTTATAAGAAAAAAGGTAATAATTAAATAAAAAGGCATCACAAAATGAGTTAAGTTTAGTCGATGTTATAAGGAAATTTTGATTTAACACTTAACATACATTGAATATTATTATCATGGTGTTTCATTAAGTTCTTTTTTTCGAATGGCAAAAACTTGTAAAAAATAAATATAATTTAAAAATAATAATAAAAATACATTTTCTTAATAAAAGAAAAGGACAAAATTCTCTTGGTATTTGGCTAAGTATAAAAATTAAAACATTTTTATATAATTTATATTAACTATTACTAAACGAGAGAAACCGATATGATGGGAAAAATACTTATTGCTATCAGTATTGTTTGTTTGTAGGTATTTGGAAATATCTCTAATAATGATATTTAAACTATTTTGTAAAATCTAATTAATCTAAACTTGGCAATGATATTAATACCTCCCCTGCTGGACGTGCTTCACCTCTTTCATTCGATACTAAAATACGTTCAGCATCCTGTGAATTTGTCAAGGAGACAATTTCATAGGAATTACTATCTTCGGTAATTTCCGATATCTCAAATGTTGTCGGTGTTAATATTTGTTCGGTAACTTCTAGGCTTTCGATGCGTGTTGTTTCGAGACGATAGAAACCATTTTCATCAATGCGATATGTAAAACGACGATGGCCGGAGGGTAATTGAAAGTCATGTTTCTTAATTAAATGCACTGATAGACTTTTGCCACTTTTAAATGGTTTCTCACAACAATGACAGAGGTATATAAATGTTGTATTTTTATGGACTTCAAAGAAGTGCTGTAATGTGGGAAGAAAGAAAAATATAAAGGTTTTATTAAAAGGGATTGATGATATACTAAATGACCCTAATGTATGTAATAGGCGAAGGATCTGAATCTATCTGAAACACTACTAAGTTGTTCTAAATTTTATTCAAAATCTTCAACCATTGGAACTGCTTTCAAACAAACTCCCATCATATTGAAGTATTCAAGGAATCACTTCTTAAAAAATTTTTGAATTAGTAAAAAAACCCATCTGAGACAGACACGGACTATACATTTGAATTAGGAGACCAAGATCTCGGTAAAATTTTACCCTTTTAATCAGGATCCTTAGGACTTTATGTGGTAAAAATTTGACTATTCGAAAAATGTACGGCTATAGGTAGGATTTTATATTAAAGCAAATTTTAAGGATATACTTCAATGTTGTTGGTTGGAATATATCTTTCATGTAAAAATTGTTCAATGGATTACACTTGGCTATTATTTTCCAGCACATGCTATTTTGTCAAACCTGCTAAAATATTATTTCATAACCCAATTGTTATTTCCTAATATATATTTTAGGAAAAGTTTGATATTGTTCTTTCCGAAACAGATTTTATTTATTCCATTCATACATAGTCGAAATCTAGCCTAAATTTAAACTATTTACCTATAACCTACACATTCCATAAAACTATCTCTCAAACTCGTATCATAGATCTTGATATTTAACACCAGAAAAAAAGACAAACACAATTTAAAACAATACATATTCGCAAGAATATATATACATACCTTTCTTAAGGCCTGAAATGTTTTAACAGCATAATTACAACCAGATTCTTCACAACGATGCACCTCCTGACTGTGCACCAATTGTACATGCTGATTTAAATCAGATTCTCGTACGCATCTATATTCACATTCTACACATTTGAAAGGTTTTTCTTTCAAATGTCTATATCTTACATGTGTAGCTAAGGCACTGGCTGATGAGCAGGTCATATCGCACATGGTACACTTAAAACAATTGACATGTTTCAGCATATGAGAACGTAATAGTTTTTCGGTAGCAAAATATTTTGAGCATTGGGCACATTGATATTTTTGAGCTGAAACAAACAAGCAGAAAAATTGAAAATAACACAAAAAAGTGACAAGAGCAGGTGGTGAGTCTAGTCTGAACAGCTAGCTAGCTAGCTCATTAATGTGTGTGGCGTGCGTCCCTCAAAATAATAAAATCTATTTTGCTGTTATAGATTACGCAAATATTTCCTTTTCATTAATTCTATTACTTACTATTATTTTCTGGCTGCCTTCGTAGATGATCAAATAATGTCGTTTTCGTACGAAACAGTTCTCCACAATGATAACAGGCTACTTGTTTCTTGTTCGAATGCGTCCGAATATGTTCTATAAGGCGATATTTATTGTCCATTTGTTTTTTGCAAAAATTCCAGTTACATTGTATTTTGGGCCTTTCATCGTCCGGTGATTTTTGTATCTCATACTCAAATGAGGCATGTTGTACTATATGGTCCTGAAACTCCACTATTGAGATAAACGTGCGATTACAATCCACCCATTCACAGCGAAAATCATTATGCAAATCAGGTATTTTATCGCACTCTCTTGGCACAGCATTACACTTTGGTATTGTGGGATTCGAGTCAAGTTCATTTTTTCCATGGACCAACAAACCATTGTAGTATCCATGATAGTATATGTGTCGCTGTATTTCCGTGATACATGCCGTCGAAAATGAGCACGCTCCCCAAACACAGATATAATTGCCATTCGTGTGCGGTTTTAATGTCTCCAAATGTGTTTCAATGTGACCATTTAATTCCCAATCGTTTGGGAACATCAGTCCGCAACCAATCCAACTGCAGGGTATTAAGGGTACATCAATTTTTCTCTTTTTATTATTACTCATAGCTATTCGTTCGTTTGTCTTGTTGAGAGAGGTACACGGGCAAGGACTTTTTTGCAGTGCTTTTCAGTTTTTCCGATCAAAATGGTCCTACACAAATGACAACCATTGTCGCCGCGCTCATTTTGTTTACCAAATATGACAGGGTTGTATGTCGCCATATGTTCTAAACAGCGATGACAGCGTTGTAACAATTGGGCAGAAAACGTGCTATGCTGTATTACAACTATGTTCATATGAACGACAGTAATCATGATTATAATTGTTTATATGCAATTTATAACGTTTACTCTATAACTTGTGCAAATTGTAAGTCCTGATTTAGATTAGGCGAGTTTACTTGCGGCAATTAATATCGTTCTCTTTTGAACTAGCTTAATGCGTCTATACAAGGCAATTCGATTTCAAAAAAAAAAAATTTTACATTTTGTGACAATGTTCTGGATTGGTATTTCAAATTACTGACACTACAAACAAAATACACAAAACGAATTGCCAGAAAATTGTCGGTACGGGCAATTTTTTTTCAAATTCTATTCCCCTTGCCCCTCTCTCCTGCAAATAAAGACTTGCCGCAAGTAAACTCGCCCAATCTAAATTGAGACTAAGTAAATGTTGCTCGTTTACTAATGGTGTTTTTACACAATATGTATTTTACATATTGCTGTCACTTATTTCATCCATATGTAATTCCTTATGTGTGTCAAAATTAGCAGCGTACGCAAAACATTTATTGTTTGTGTTCATTTATTTTTATTAAACACCTACAAACGAAATACTAATTTTTAATTGTTGCCTTTTCATCCTTTTCTTTGACTTGCAATTGAAATATTTTCTTCCAACAATGTGTTTCATTCAAACAGCTGATTTCCTTATGTTTCACATACGAAAATAGAGCGCGTCCTATTCGGAAAAAATACATATGTAATTGCATATCGTTTTGACACATTGAAATTTCCGTATGTTTCACATGACGAGTTCGATTTCCATATGTAAATAAAGTGACAGCACATATGTAAAATTCATATCGTGTAAAAACACCATAACAAAATCCCGTAAGATAAGAGCGCATTAAGAGAGAAAATTGGCAGTTGTGTTACTGAGAATTTGCAAAATTTAGACGGGCAAAATTTAAATGAAAAAGAAAGCGCAAGTATAAATAAATATTAAAAATGACATGTTGCTGTTCATCATTCAAATTAAAATAAAAAATTATTCCTACCAAATTTCTGTGGTTGTATTCAGCATTTGTTTTCATAGTATACATTAGCTCTATCTGTTTACTCGATATTTGGTAACAAACTGAAAGAATTTTATGCAGTAAGATTTTGCAAAGTCAGTATTTTTGGATCAGCTGTTTTACGACCAAAATTAAAAATTATTCATAACATTTTTATAATTTGCAAAGATCAATTTGAAATTAAGTTGTATAAAAATTACAGAAAATGGAAGAAATTCGTAAGTAATGCTAAGTTTCATTAAATTAGAAACTAATTCCTTATATATTTTTAGGTAAGTTCCAGATAGAGGGCAATGTATTTATGCAGGAAGCTTAAATGTTCCCGGGGAACATACCAAATCAATTTTTCTTTTATTATTCATTTTATTTTTAATATTAAATGCAATACAAATAATTGTGTTCGTCCTTTCTTTGTTGTTTATTTTGGGGCAAATCTAGTGTTTTCTTGAACCAGCTGTTTATTTGTTAAATCTTACTAAATGTTGTCTGTTTACTTTTCTCAGTATTATCGCAAAAGACGCTTACTCTCTTTATTGCCCATTAGGTAGATGTGTATTTTCTTCTTTCTGACAAAAGCTACCCTACCATGATGCAATAATAAGGTGATGTATCAAAACAAAAACACTTTTTTTTTGTCTCGATTATCTGTCAAATTTTTCTTTTGACAGTTAATCAGTTAACCAAGACATCAGCTGCTCTAAATGGACTACCTATTCATTGTGCCATGTACCCTACCATGTATAATTGTACCATGGTTGTATTAAGCTATATGGATACAATCTTTTTACTGGTTACTCTCTAAAATATTCTCTCTTTTTCGTTTTTACACTCAGTAAACTTTTACTGAGTAAATGTTACTGGAAAAGTAAACGAACATACCTGTTATGTTATATTTGGCCATTGTATAATATGCTGTAAAGGTTTTTTATGATAAATCATGATTTATAGTACATTTACATATACGATTTTAAATCTACTCGATTAACGAAATCCAGAAATACGCACAAATTGTTTACACATACCTTTTATCATGATCTAAATACCGATCAGCTGATGTTTGTTAATAAATACACAAAAATTCTATAACTAATTTTTGTTCTCCTTTGCATATTTGGTGGCATATTTTGGTACATTGTGAGAAAATTGTATTGTTTCGTACAAAAATCGCGTTGCAATTATAAAACCATTAATTTTTACACAAACAACAGTTATTTAAACTTCTCTTATACCTAGCATATACTTAAATAATAAAAAGGCTTAAACTTAAAAAATCAAATATAAATACTTGTTAAATTTTTATCATGGACTTATATTTATTTTGAACTCAACATTAAGCCATTCATTGTATTGTTTTCATGGAAAAAATGTAGTGAGCCGGTCTTTATATATTAATTTGTGAAATTTATACTGGTGTAAATACCACCATTTGATGTTTGAAAATTCATATTTAGTCTTATTCTGAACATCAATTCACCGTGACTTTTTTTCTCTCTTCCTTTTAAAGGTATTCTGAACCAGAAATCTCAGCAATTTTTTTCGCAGTTCATATTTTGTTATTGCAAACTAGTCAGGCTGAAGCCCAGTTTGTTGCTTTTATAAAAACAACTATTTATTAGTGGGGAAAGTATGGCATTGTCCACCGAGGGGTTGGGCAGGGAAGACTATAGTTTCGGATCTCGCCACAGATCCTTATCAGTTCCCTTAGTTTTTTGTTGGGGATATTCTCCCTAGGAGCTATTAATAGCTTCTTTACAAAAAACGTTTTATACCAAAATGTGTCTCTTTTTATACCCAAATAAACTGCATGAGAATTTTGTTGGTGCCTCACTTCGAGGTTAACAAGGCATTTGTAAGCAGTACCATACATTTCCCACATGCCCCTTATTCTAAATCAAGTTCGAAAGCGAAAAAAAATCCGCTTTGGGGAAAAATTAGTTATTCTGGATTACGTGGAGTGGGAGAATGTGATGACATTTTGTGCGAAATTTTTCGCAAATAAATTAAAAGCGAGATGACTAAATAAATATACATAAGTATTACAATTTTTTATGAAAAATATCTTATTATATGACAATACTTATTATATGACGATTTTGAATATTATAAATGGTTGTATGCATGGTACAATAATACAAGGTAGGGCAGCTTGAGGTGAATAACAAAAAAGCAACTATGCATGTGTGGCCTCTTCTGCCAAAAATAAAATAAATATACCCAACAAGTGTTTGTATTTATTTGACATTTTTTCAACACAAAACTAAAAACGCGAAACTGAATGAAAGGTTATGAGTTCTTCACAAAATGCATAACAAAGTAATTACTTCCAGACGAACGTGTTAACAACTTTATTTTCATTTCAATTAAACTCGAATATATTTCAATTTATTTTGAATTTATTTGACATTGTATTCAAAACAATACACACACATACACAAAATATGTATTTTGATTTGATTGAACAAGCCACCTTGAGAAAAAATTGTAATCAGTTGGTAGCTGTGCCCTACCTTGTAATAATTATACCATGGTTGTATGCATATTTTGAAGTCAAAAACAACAAATAAAATGCAATTGGAAATCCTATTGTCACGGAATGTATAAAAGCAATAAGGAATATTTAAGCGGAGTTTGATGCAATTCGGAGGTTAAAAAAGAAATTTCGTGTGAGGATTTGTCTCTCCAGAAAAGGATATTAAAAATTATGGAAAATTAACATAGCCAAATTTGCCTGATGAGCCACTTAACTGTGAAAACCTCAAATAAAAATAATGAAAGAACAATCATAAAGCTACAAAAATATATTTTCTTTCAAAATTAACGTTTGCATGATTTGAAGAACGAAATAAAGGATGAGGAGCATATCATAAAATAATTGGCCACTTTAAGAATTTGGGAAGATAAAATATGGAAATGAAATAAAAATGAAATGAAATAAAATAAAAAACTGCGAATTAATTTTATTCAATCGCAGATGTCTTCCCCTTATTCGTTTTGTCTTTGACATCGTTCAATGCGGGTTTTGTACTTGTTGCACAAGTTGCATTAAAACAATAAACAGCTGTTTCACATGCCGTCGTAGGTTGCCATATTTTCAAACTTTAACTTTTCTTTTTATGTTTTACAGCGGATTCTTGATATTTACATTTTTTCGCTTAAACAATAAATTACACTGGACAACAGACATAACAACTTAGAATAAGGCGAAAATGGAAAATCGAACAATTTTTCACAAGTGAGATATCTCTCTACTCAATCTCAAATGTCAATTCCATTGCGTATACGTCACGTTAATTCTGTTCACAAATCCAGTGGATTATATTTAACGTATAACCCAAGGTAGATATACAAGGTAGCCGCATCGGCGAATTTCTACAACAAACATCGGTTGTTGTATTTTGATATGTCAAAAATATTTTGCCAAAACAAACAGATTGACATGATATTTTTACACAAATTCTTGTAGAAAATATTAATAAAAGTATTGCCAAACAAGCTCTTCGTATAAGCAATGGAATTGACATTTTAGATCGAGTGGATTTCGTAAATCTAAACGTACCTTAAGGCTGATGGAATTTTCGTGAGATAATAATAATAGTATTCCCGTAGGGAATACTATGAGATATTTGTTTCATTCATAACAAAGTAATTATTTCCAAATGGACGCGTTAAAAACATAATTTTCATTTCAATTAAATTTGAATATATTTCACTTTAGAACAATACAATTCGTTCAGGTAGAATTCATATGGGGTTCCAAAGTTTGAAAAA